TGTGTGTGTGTGTGTGTGTGTGTGTGTGTGTGTGTGTGTGTGTGTGTGTGTGTGTGTGTGTGTGTGTGTGTGTGTGTGTGTGTGTGTGTGTGCCCACCTCTCAACTATACGCTCCAAAGTGAGGTTGCGCAGACAGTCGGTCAGACCCTTCTCTCCCAGCTCCACGTCTCGGCCGCAGGGGACACAGGGGAACATCATCACCAGGGCTGGGCCCTCCTTGCGGCGTCGCCCCCCATGTGTTCCGTATCCCGGGGACCGAGGCATGGATGGCGACGGTGGGTGGGGGCCTTAATCCAAGAATAAGGAAGGCAAGTTGTGAGCAGACACAGACAATGACAAAGATATTGATGATGGTTTGACAAACTAACATCAATGCAGTCACACCAAAAAATGCTTTTCAATCTCTGTGACCTCACCTGATCGCAGCACGCGGTCAATTGGTCGCTGCTCAGCTTTAGGCGTAGGCCTGCGTGCCTGGCGGGGCGAGCGGGTGTTGGGTGTGGAGGCTGGGGAGTTGGGCTCTGGGGGAAGCTCTGGAAGCGGGTAGCCACTTGCCACCAAGACCTCGGAGGCACACATGAGGCAGACGCTGTGCTGGCATGGCAGGACCACGGGCTGTTTGACGATTTCCTTACACACGGGACAAAGCAGCTCGTGCTCCAGGCTCCTCATGTTAGACTGTGGAAGGAAAAGAGGAAACAAGTTAGACTAAACCACGTTTCACCTCTTATGCAAATGTCAGTTGAGTGCATACCTCTGCCAAGGCCTAACAGTCCCTTTAATTAGATTTAGCTGCACCAAAGTGCACACACTCATAGATATCAGTCCCTTAATTATGCCTGTTTTTTATCTACATCGTTGCATTGTGTCCTGGGAAAATGGGGAAATTGACGACTGTAAAAAAAATGCCTTATCTCTCAATGTTAGAGACAGTGGGAAGAAAAGTCCTGGAACCGACCCCGACCCAGATCTGCATCTAAACTTAAAGGGTTCCTTCATGACACATAGCGCATCCCTCTACTAAGTTCCAACAAACAAACGCAGATGAAAACAAGGTAATTAGCCTGAGGTATTAAAACTTCAGCACCACATTAGTGATATACTAAGAATAACAAATGTGCACCATTAGAGTTGCAGGCTCCAAAGAAGCAGCTGGAGGGAAGAATATGAATCCCTCTAATTAAAAAAGAATGAATCTGACCAGACACACAAAACCAAGAACTCGTAATTTTGAGCTCAACAGAACCAGAACCAGAAAAGTACAGAGGTCCCTATATCCAGGTGCACTGCTAAAAGATTCAGTGTCATAGGAGACAGAGATGAATTGAGAGAGAGGGACGGGGTGAAGGGAAAACGTGTCTCAGACAAGTTGACAGCAGGCATCAGTCTTCTTAAATATAGATAAAGACAGAGCGTTAATTATTCAACCACTGCACACAGTCCATCCCTTCAATCACCAACCTGCAACATGAGTGGGGCTTTTCCAATCTTTCTTCAAGAGTCTGGTCTTTCATTTTGAGAGCAGGATTTATGACTCATGTTCAGAATTTTGTAGAGTTCTCCCTCAAAACCTCAAATAGTCCCAGCTTGTGCTTAGATTTCCTCTGCAAATACAAAATATCTGAGTGCGAGCGCACCGTTTGAGCACAAACAGAGCAAATCTAAGCACAAGCAGCTGCTATGTGAGTGCACGTAAAGATGGTTCGATGTATTGTCATGGAACAGGACACTGATCAGTGAGCACAGTTTGAGGATGGTGAGTTTGTTTCTTTACTTCAGTGCTGAACCAGCGTCTTCTTGTGTAACCACAGGGGTCAGAGCTGATGGGACGAGTGACTCGAGAGCAGTTAGCGTGTCACTGACCCGCTCAAGGACACGGATTTGACTGGAAAGGACACGGTGGCTGTTGCAGAAGCTTGTGATTTCGCAACTACAACTTCTGTTTGTCATAGAGAAACAAGGCGTTGACTTGTGTCCATTCATTGAATTTTCCAGTGCAGCCTGAGGAGTACATGTAATTTCTTATGGTTTATTTTGACTCATGGATGCCCTTGACACACAACCTCAACCTGAAATCAAAACTGTTGCAGCACCACTGACACAATGAGTTCACTTCAGAAACCAGGGGGAGACAAAGTGACGGACTGTGCTGCAGAGGGGATTTGGAGATTTTGTCACTGCTGTGATGTGTTGAGATGTGATGCAGCATCAGCAACTCAAACCACCACTGTTTCTGCACAATCAGGATGATATGCAGGAGATCATGCACATGTACAATCGCTGCATGTCAATTTTAGAGGGACATGAAGTCCCACAAATGCACAAGACTGATACACACAAGGTAACTTAGCAAATAATCAATGTCTTCCCAGTTTACAGACACGTTATATTAAACGATGCAGTTTCCCAGTGGGGCTGCATGAGGCTGCTCCCTCTGTGTCATTCTCCAATGTCAACTCCGGCCTGTCTTTTTCCTCCTCCTGTCGCAAATCCAGGCGACATTTGCACCTCCAGCACACTGTAAACACCACAGCACACTGCAGGCCCGCGTTATGCGTCTGAAAGCGGATGGATGCGCACTGCTAAATGCGGAGGCCGGCGTGAAAACGCGCCGCAGCGGACAGCGCATCCTTACCTTCACCTGGAATCTGGGCGCCATGGCAGCAGAGCAGACTACGTGCACGTTTCCCCAGCATCAAGAGAGCGCTGCCTCTTGGATGAAAAAAAAAAAGAAGGGAGGGGTTTGAGGCACTAACATCGAGAGCCACCCCTCCTCCCTCCCCTGTGAACGCAGCAGCATGAGAAGAAGCTATGGTGCATGTGGAAACCTGTAGTCGACCCACCACAGACCACTGTCAGTCATTCATATCACTTCTTCACCAAATAACGACCAATGCTTTACGCACGAATCTACACACACACACACACACACTTCTCCTCCCTCCCTGCCTCAGCACCAGCACCCCAAACTCCTGCATCCCGTCTCCATGGAAACGAGCATCCAGTGAAAAGAAGACAAAATGAAAACCTGTGATTTCAAGTCTGCTTCTTTACTGCTTTAATATTTGTAACACTTCAGAACAGCCTCGCATATCTAACACATCTAACCAAAGAGAGCAGATGATTCGTTGTAGCCCACTGAAAGAGGCGCTCCATCCAGGACCTCCATTACACCAGGAAACACAACCATTCATTTTCTACAACAAGAATATGGGACAGCCAGTGTTTATATCGATATTTATATGTAGGCTTATTCCGGTTGTTTTTACTCGGAGGTTTTTATTCTGGATGCAGAATTTTTAAAAATGTCGGAATATAGGCCATTTTGTCCGGAACGTGAAACACGAGACGTGACATCCACACACCGTTAATGATGCTCTCCAACTAAAAATACAGGATGAAGCCATTATAATCATAAAGCTGCGTTTTAGATGTGCAGGCAGCGACAACAGAGAAAACACTTGTACTCACACTGATGCGAACCAAAGCTTCCATCGTCGACGTGACTGTTTTTAAATCCATCTCTGTCATTTTAAGAAATCAGCTCCCCCGTTTTCATCATCTGGATATAAACCGAGACGTATCTAGGCCACAGGCCATGAGGAACATATTAATAACTCCAAAAATGTGCAGCTTTGATCCGCTAGATAATTCAGATCTGTCGGTTTATCCATCTTTACCCATTTTTACGCACGGGGGGGAAAAAGGGCTGATAAACGTCAGCTTCTGAGAATAAAAATACAGGGAAGAAGGCGCAGATGGATAAATGTGATGCGAATGTCAGTGTGTGTCCACGCTGAATATTAACAGATGCCTGTAGCTGTGTTCCTCACCCAGACATCCCGCCCCCCACCCTTACCATCCCGCACCGGATGCCTTCAAATGATGTGGCACACACACACACACACACACACACACACACACACACACACACACACACACACACACACACACAGCAGGGTGAGAGATTGATGTCAATGTCGGATGGGAGAACCGATCTGAGTCCTCCATCAGAGAGGGAACCTGGATCTCCAGGTAAGATGTAACGCAGACCGACATCACCAGCCGTTTCCAGTGATTCATGGGCTGCATGGAGGCAGAATAAAGGATCCTCAGAAAGTCAGGCTGCTACAGTAACATGTTCCAGCTGATGTGAACCTGACTCCTTAAAGCTGCTGCTCTGCCTTTGGGTTTGATTGATCTTATCTGACGCTTATCCAATTTCAAAGCACGATGCAAAGGCTGATATTAAAAGCTGAACATGCTGGAAGGTGTAATCTCTGCGTGTCTTTCAGGTGTGAGGCACAGAATGAATGTAGAGGCCTGGGTTTGGCAAGAAATGTGTTCTGCATTGGGTCTGAATGTAAGTATGAAGCAGCTTAAAATGAAAACACTCAAATTGTTTAGAAGTTCCTGTGTGTGTAAAAAACTAACTTGGAAACTAACAATTTGCAGCCAGGTGTGTTTATCATGCATGCAGACGATGATGTGTAATACCAGTCTATTCGACATGAGGGCGTAAGTAGAGCTCTATCTTATTCAGTATAGGAACGTTAGAAATGTTTTCACCACAAGATGGCGCTCAACTCTACAGTAAAACAGAATGAGTAAAACAAAGAGGAACATACAATAATGTTAATAGCACAAAACAAAATGTCCCCCAAACTAATATTCTTTCATTTCAACATCTTTAGTCTTTCACAAATTATTTTTAAAAATGTAGAACGTTGTGGAATGTAATTTGTCTATTTCAAGCTTCATTATAATGGACAGTGTCAGTAAAGTATATATGATATAACTAAATGAATAGAGCAACCTCCATCAATTCAGATGAAATCATATTTATTATTGTACAATATTAAAGTGTGTCATGGCAACATTCATAAGAAATGTCTTTTGTTCTGTTTCGGTGTAGATCCAATCACTTGATCACGTGTCGTTAATTACTCAGTCACCGAGGGACAATAGGACTGTTTAGTGAAGTCATCTCGTAAAGTATGTTAAAACGCTGTTGATTGACTTTCCCACATTGTTTCCCACTCACTCCCACATTCTTTTTCATGATAAATCCACCTCTTGATTATTCATTAGCCAAAATGACAAGTTTACTCAATTGTGTCATTGATAAATCACACATTTCTATTAGAGGTTTGACCCCCTGACTGGTTGGGTCCTTCATCCTCAATGTTTTGTGTGCCACAAGTTTTAAGAACAGTTTATTAGGTATTTAATTTATGTCAAGCTGCTTTGTTTTACATGTGTTTTATCAAATTGCTTAATTATAAATGAACATGCAGAAAAGGTGGAAGGGAGTTTTAACCCATTATAGTACAATTGGTCGATATATACAATGTTAGTGTGTGTGTATGTACATGTGTGTATATAAACACGTTTGTGTGTATACATACGTGTATATATCTTTTAAATACACACAAATATATATATTTATATATTCTTTGGACATATACACAGAGACGTTTATATAATTGTATACACACCTAAAAACACACACATGCATAAAAAATTCTCACAGTAATCTTTTTATAGAAGAAATAGGAGTTGCTGTTATTAAAAGTAAATAAATCTGGACTAAAGTTTCAATTAATACTTTTCTGTTTGTGTGGTTACTGCTCAACACCGTTATAATCTGGGTGAGCCATTTATATCTGACTCACACTCACACACACACACACACTCCTACACACATACACAGCAGTCTGGGCGTCGCCTCACTATAAATTCATTGCTTCACTTTTTCCAAAGTTCTTCACATTCCCACTTCTGCTCCTCTGAGTGACCACGTCCCAGCTCTGCACGGTAAGATCCAACACTGCTCCTCTCTGAGCTCCTCTCTATGATTGTCACAGACACTGTAATGCCTGCAGGGACAGTTAGTTTGTGGAGGGACTGTGTTGCAGTAGTTAGTCGTATCCACCAGTCGCAAGTTTTCTAAAGGGAAACGTGTCCTGTCTGTGGAAGTCATGCTTAGTTTTGTCCAAGAGCTCAACCTACACGGACTTTATTTCAAAGACTTTAGGACTAATGCTATCTAAGAATATTATAAGATATTTATGAGAGTTATACATGAAGATATTAACTTTATTTAACAGTTACTATAACGTGTATAAGATTCAAACAGTGTGATAATACATGAATCGCTCACTGAATACAAACCTTATTTTCTCCAGTTTTACTTTATTTGACCCTTGTGAACACACTTCTTGTAGTTTTGTTATGCATCTACCCTGAGGGTGTGGTTGGACTCTGTAACTTCATGCATCAAACTTCACATTTTGGGGGAATTGGTACATTTTATTTTTCCTCATTCATCTAAAGTTCTCCACTGTCATCCACTCAATTATTTTTTAACCATTGAAATGAGACAGAAATGAGACACAGTGCTTTGTGGTTGTTTTTTTAAATCCTGTCAGTACCGCTGTGGTAACAACTTAATAACAGGTCTTATCTCAGTCTCATTACCTCAGATGAACATTACTCATGCAGTGGGAAGGGGGCTGGAGCTGAGAGCAAAGTATTGTGCTTTCCCTTCTTGCATACAAAGCAATGGAGCACTCCTTTTTCTCCACGAGACAGAGCAAAAAAACAAGAATCAAGCAAATCCACACATAGACAAGTCATAATTCTACTTCATATACTTTATCTCATATTTATATACAGTCATCAGAGGAAACCTTCCTCTCTGAGAGTCATTTGAGAAAGTTTAAGCTGAAACTATTTTCTTTTCCATTCAGCCGTCAGTCATTTTTCAAAGTTCTCTGAGGTCTTGTTGTGACTTTGGCCATTAAAGGTAACTGTATGCCATCAGTGATCCTATTCATCACTTTCACTTTATTGTTTGTAACTTGATTTTTCAGTCTAAAGACAGAAACCATGCCTTCTGAACTGGAAACAGCCATGGAGTCACTCATCAAAGTGTTCCACCGTTACGCCTCAAAGGACAACAAGACCACCACCCTGAACCGACGAGAGCTCAGAGAGTTGATGGAAAACGAGCTGTCCAACTTCCTTCTGGTGAGAGAGACGACCAACGTGCCCGAAGATTCTAACGTATTCCATATTATCATATCACCTCATTGTTGTTTTCTTGTTGATGCCCCCTCCAGAGTCAGAAGGACCCCGCTGCTATCGACAAGATCATGAAGGACCTGGACACCAACGGCGACGGCCAGGTGGACTTTGAGGAGTTTGTTTCTCTGGTTGTCGGACTTTCCATTGCCTGTGAGCATTGCTACCAGATGCACATGCACAAGAAGACAAAGAAGTGAAGGACGGCAGCGGGGGAGAGAGGAGAAGAAGCCACAAAAAGCATTTCAATTTTTGTAAAGAGAGTTTTGTCCATTAAATACAATGAAGAATTTCAAACCTCTTGTGTCTGTTGTGTGTTGGGTGTTGTGTTTGTCTTTCAGTGATCTCTCATTTGAATATGAAGCCATGTGTCCCCTCTCAGTTTAAATGAATATTGAAAAAGGACAGTAAGCCACATTAGAGCTCTTGTTTCCTGTTGATTTCCCTCCCGGGGGAAGCTCAGCACAGAGATCATCATGTCCTTGCATAGTGAACAGACAACACTGGGTGTGTTGATGTAATATTTTATGCCTCCCACTGTATCAAAGGGTAGACGGACCACTCCCTCTCTGTTTGATAAAGCCCCCTGCTCATCACCGCTCTGAGGAATCTGAAGAATGTTCTAGACGTGCACTCACCTCTCTGTGAAGGTGATGTCGTAACATGATGGCAACATAAACAGATATATTATATGTCTGGGTGCTAACTGAGTAAAAGTTTGCTGCGTTCCAGTCAGTCCCATTTGAGCAGGACGAATAAAAGTGGAGCGTCTGAGTCACAGGGCATCAGGATCACCACTCAGTTTTTTCCACTAAATTCTTTTCATTGTGTTTCATGTCTGCTGAAAGTTGGATAACACCCCTCACCCACTCCTCCTGACTTTTCCTGAGTTGGACTCTGACTCGTTTTGCCCTAAAATAAAGTCTTGCAGGCAGCACTTCTCCTCAGGCTGAAGACGACTGAGCTCCACCAATAGAATCCTTCCATGCCACATGTTAACGAGTGGACTCTGGTTGATCATCTGCCAATCCTGGTGAAGTAGGCAGGCTTTCCCTGTGGAAGGTATGCCTATGAGGGAAAACTCAGGGCAAACAGAATCTCATGAGTCTCATGAGCATTGCACACACACACATCCTTGGGCAGAGTCTGAGTTTGTGGCCGACCAATGTTCATGACTACAGGGCAAACAGACGCGTTGCTAGGCTACAACGTACTGTACTTGTTTTCTGTACCACTTTAGGACCTTATATACTAAAAACACTATTCTTGTGAGGACCAGCAAACCTCATGGGGACCAAAGCCCAGTAAATGAAGCAAAACTTAATTTCTAAGGTCCTGGTTGAGATCAGGGGTAAGATGTGTGGTGTGGTTTTTTAAAGATTAGGGTTATGCTTGGGTTAAGGTTTTGGTTAGGCTGCCTATACTGACTGGAGGTCAATGCAAAGTCCTAGAAAGTATAGCTTTACAAACCTGTGTGTCTGTTTGTGTGTGTGTGTGTGTGTGGTCTGTCCAGATATTGCTCATGTTGTGGGGACATAGGCTAAATCTTTTTACGCAGTCACATTATGGAGACTTATCATAACGAAAAGAAAGTTCTTACAACGCAACATATCAACATGTTTTAAGGTTGATTTAGGTTTAGGTAAGTGTCCAGGAAAATAAGGCAAGTCAAATGTGTGTGTGTGTGTGTGTGTGTGTGTGTGTGTCTGTGTGTGTGTGCAGTTTGGATTCAGCCCCCTCTTTAAACAAGCACCACACCCATGTGATCCACAGCTGAGTACAGAGCCGGGAATTCCTACTTTTGCTGACTGTTTTCTCAATGTCCCTTTTGTGCAGTTCACACAGTAGAAATATAGAGTGCATGCTGCATGTGTATCATGTAGCCTAAAACAACACCAGCATTATTTGATTAGATGATTTCATTTCTCGAGGCATGACACAAGAGACCAGGCATTAAGTTGTGACGACAATGAACGAGCCAAAAGTTGCTCCACTTAGTAATGCTGAGATCACGACCTTTGTCATCACATGATTAATGCTGCATCCATGTAGTTTTATTGTTTCTCGAGTCGTTCCTAGTGGAGACGTGTACTGATTTAAACACCAAGATAAGCAAACATTCACCCACCCATGCCACACCTTTGCTGGACATATGCAGAAAGACACAACAGCCCCTCTCAGTGGACATTATGCAGCAATGTTCTGAACATATCAGCACTGAATGTGCTGTAGCTGTTTCCACTGGATCTGACGTCTGACTGTTGAGATCTTGTTGTAGCTGATGGTGTAGCTTACAAAAATGTTGGAGTGCGTCATGTCCATTTATTTGTTCCTCTTTTGCTGTTGCTTGGTTGTGGGATAACAGTGCTAGATACAGTATATTCACAGCTGAAAGGATATGCAAAACCTTCATGATTATGATTATAATTATTATTACGATACAATAACTATTATCAATATGTCTCCAGCTCCCCCTTGACCCTATATGATAATACAGATTATAATGCAATGCAAACAACAACAACAACAATTATTATTATTATAATTGATATATTAGTATTATTATCATTAATAAAAAAAATTCAACAAATATTTAATATATATATTTAATATATTAGCAACTCTCACAATTGTTTTTCTGGTCCAAATATTTCAGAGGAATCATTTTCTGGGAGGGCACACTTGGAAAATATGCTGTGTGTGTACTTCACCACTAGATAGTGTAATTGCGTCCCTGATTATTGGCCTTGGATATTTGATCAGTTTTTAAATCTGCTGCAGCTGTATACTTTAAACATCTCTCATGTGAATCACAGCAGGAAATAACACGGTTTGTGGTTTCCATGGAGATTCCTTCTCTAAGTGATTGAAGAAGATGGAGGAGGAAGACGGAAGGAAAAAGTTTGACTATGTTATTTCCACTCAGTGACAAAAGTAGTGCAATGGAAAAACTGTGTTTGCACTACAAAGTCTGTTCTTAGAAAACATTAATGTGCTCATCTATGATCTGTACTTTAATTTAAAGTAACTTAAAAAAAGTAACTGCACCCTGAGCAAAGAGGAGATAACACACACACAAAAATACACATACACACAGAGTTGCCAGTGTTGATTTTTGTCCTCTCTTGTTTCAGGTCTCTGCAGCATGATTCACTCGCGTCACGGACATGACTGTGAGTCACAGCCTCGACCAAAAAATTGCAAGGAGGACAGGAGCCACTGACGGCTGCAACAATCCAGGCTCACTGAGTCACCAGGCCTAACGGTTTTTATTTCAGAATCCTATTTATCACAAACAATCCAATAAAACAACAGCAAAAATGACAATTAAAGACACAAAACACCAGGAATTAGTTGGTACAACATATAATTGAAATGTCTTGTAAAACTATGCATTTGATTTAAAACAAACATGCATGATTGTTTATTTGGTTGTTGGATTTGCAAAGTAGTCTGGATACATCTTCACATTTGATCCAAAGAAAAAAGGCAGAAAATTGTATTTAGGGTTTGCTGCACACAGATAACGTATATGACAAAACTGCAAACTGAAAAACAAATGTAACAATAATATTTTCTTAGGAGGAAACTTAACCTTTACTTTTTGTGGTTTGTTGTCTCATGACCTCCCTAGCATCTTGAGAAATATGTGTTTTCAAAGGTCAAGGATTCTTTTAAAGAATGAATAAAGAATGAACAGCTGCCAGCTGCAACGTACCCAGTTACGAAAAGTAGATATCAAATCTATAACTCAAGTTTCAAGTTTATTGTGATATGTAAGTTTCCACACAGTACAAAATAATTGTCGAACAAGAGGACAGGTCACCCCAGCAGTAAGAGCAATGCTTTAAAAAAAAAAACATAAAGTTTAAAAAATGAAAAGAAGATCTATTTAAATACAATAAAATAAAACTCCTCAAATGCATTCCACTAAAGAATATAAACAGTTTTCAGACAATTTTATGAAGTTTTATTGCAGCTGCAACAAGCATTGAAAAATATTTGCTTTGAAAAAGTCAGCCTTAGTGTTACATCACACTGCTGCTCTTTATTCCAGTCAGCTGTGCTAACCGCATTCATTTTAGATTCAAATCTTGAGATCAAAACATTGATGAAGTTACTGTGATAAACTATCATTTTCTTTCAGCATTTCCTTCCTTAATTCACATGTGCACTGCAGTTCTGATGTCGACATAAATGAAATGAATCATATCAGATTCCATAACAGTTGACATAAATAATCATCTGTTGATGATCTCCAAGCAACAAATGTTTCTCACAGAAAAGACATGTCACAGGACACCAGGGGCGGAGGTGTGGTTGAGGAAGAAAGGGACATTATGGAGCATTATGGAGGGAGGGACGATGGGTGTGGTGATGTATAAAGCATCCTCTGCATCCATTTCTCCATCACTCCAGCGCCTGCAAGATTGATTTTCACTCTCCAATCTCCACAAACCTCAACCTCGGTGAGTAGAAATCTAAACAATGTTGTTTTACTTGTTGTTTGGTTTGTTATTTGTGTGAAATATTTAAAAAAATCCATGAACTACCAGCTCTGTGAGAACTTTTGAGCTATGACTCCTTGTCATTGCTTTGCAACGATGCAACAGACACGGCTCATGTGCTGCATGTTCAGAAACTTGTTGCATGACCTTTTGGTTGCAAATGCTTCAGTTGCGACCAAATCAAACATCTGAACAGTGGTGCAGTTTGTGTTTTGTGCTCTCTTCCTCCACGACTCCCATGTGTTTACAAACCTTCCAATGCCACAAGTCCTTCCCTGGAGACAAAGCAGCACCATGTGAGTCAGACCTACAACCAGAACTGATTCTCTTGGGTCCGTGGAGTCAGTGGAAAAAAATAAAACACTTTTCAGACATTAAGAAAACAGATCACCACAGGGACTTTAATCAAGTCTTGACCTGCTTCTTTACCTAGTTCAGCGTAGATACCTGGAGAGAATCAACTGTCGCCATAACAATGTCCTGTGTCACTCGCCAGAAATGTTGCGTTAGAGACCGGTGACATGGGCAAATAAATGTGGTTGGGGCCCTGGTGGAAACTCAGGGTTTATTTTTATCCAGCCCCAATGGAAAAGTCAGAGGAAAAACACTGGCAGAAACAAAAGCAATGATGTCAACAAAGGGAATTAGCATGCATTGCATATCATTTATACATATAGATATATAGCCATTAATGCTGTAGCAGGAGGAAAGGGAGTACTGGCATAATGGCGAAGCAGACTGTGAAAAAAGTCAAAACAGTTAAAACTTTTATTGTAACTAAATAAATCTGTTCAATCCCTGCACTACTCTCAGTTTTCTCCCTCTGCCAACACCCTCCAGCTATGGAAATAAACTGTGCTCTCTGTTAGCAAATCAAATTTGACCACCATACCTCATGATCCATTTCAATTTGCATGGGTGAAAGAGAACAGGTCTGGACTCGGCCTCTAGATGGAGCCACAGCAGCTTTGAATGAGAGCAAGGATTCTCCTGTTTGGTCCATTCTGAGGATGTACAATAATCTGACCCCACAGTGCAATCAACACAGAGACATAACGTATTTCTGTCCTCTTGAACCAAGTGTCATCATGTCTGAAGTCCAGAAGGCCATGGGCCACCTCATCAACGCCTTTCATAGATACTCTAAAAAAGAGGGGGACGAACTCTTCCTGAGTAAGGGTGAGCTGAAAGAGCTGCTTGAGAATGAGCTCAAAGAAATGCTGGGGGTGAGTGATTTCTGAGTGTTGAATATGCACAAGTCCAGTGATAATCCAGCCCTGTTTTATGACCATCTGAGAACTTCACTACAACTAATGTCTTCCAGAAGCAACATGTCTCCTGACATTTATTCTAACCTGCAGAATTCCGCTGACAAGACCGCAATAGATCGCATCTTCAACGACCTGGACCATAACAAGGACAACAAAGTGGACTTTGCGGAGTATACGGCCATGGTGTGCAGCCTCACGCAGATGTGCCACGAGTTCTTCACGAGCAAGAAGAAATAGGGACCAGAGCGCCACCTGGAGGCCAACACAGAGAGGTGCCTTTCTGTGAAAAAAGTTTCTCTAGCTAGCTGTTCTGAAAAAAGAATAAATATTTACTACTGCTTGAAGGCACTAACGGAAAAAATGTATGTCAAAATGCAAAATGAAATAAATGTTTCTTTTTCTTCTTTGGAAATCTGAGTCGTGAACTTTGTTTTCAGAGTTTCAGGGGTAAACAGCATTGCAGTCAAAGCCAATACAATTGAAGTTAATGGTGACCACTTTTTCAAACAAATAAAAACAACAGAAAAAAACATAAAATGCCTCCATACTGCTTCTGTGGTGTCATCCAAGTGTCTGTTAGCCCTGACATTCAAATTCAAGTCATTTACCGCATGTTTTAGCCCAAACGTCTGCTCGATATCGATAATTATCACGATAAATGTCAAATTATTAAGTTCAAACACTGATTTTTGCTCCAAACATTGTGGTCTTTAGCTCTTGTTTATGAGCAGGGATTTGCAAACAGAGGTGGTTCAGTTGTGTGTTAAACTACCTCACTGTGCTTTCACCATGCACAAGCAATATATCAGTATATATTGAACCTTTGCTAAATTGTTATTGATGAAAATTATATAATCATTGATGTTATTTAATTGCCAAGCCCCAGTGGCTCATATCTTAGAGACAAACCATATGTAAGAGTATGAGCACATTTATCAAAGCACATTTTAAAACAAGAAATAAAATGCTTCCTGTCTTACAAATAAAGTACTATAACTATATATAAACTTTAATTTAATTTATTTTGATGTCCAGCATCCACATTGGGAACATTGTGTTCTGCAGCAGTGATAAGCTTTACCACCAAGATTATTTTAACAGCGAACCTGCAGGTTTTCATTTCAAACAAATACAGAGGAGGTGATTTCACAGATTGCGCCTCCCCATTGCATTCAAGATAACATGACACATGGCACAATAATATCAGTGGTTGGCATCAACTTTAAATGTTGTCACAGGACAGGGCAGCAAATCAGTGAGTGTGACAAGAATGGGTTGAGACACTGGAGGAGAGAAGAAAAAAAGAAAAAGAAACTAAAGCTACAAGTGACTAAAACTGAAAAAAATACCAGTGGAGGGATTGTGCAATATGTACAGTAAGATAAAGTGTCAAAGTGTCACAGTGATGAATTATTACTCCCAATGATCAATGAATGTTCGAGAGAAACAGCATTTTCTGGTTTTGAAATATTTCTTTGAAAATAATCAGCTTGGTTTACACACACACACACACACACACACACACACACACACACACACACACACACACACACACACACACACACACACAAATCCAGGTTTGCATCTTATTAGGATTTTGCATTGACTTAC